CCACCTGTCATAGACTGTACCAGGGATTTAAGGAATGAAAGGCACCACTTCCTGCCACTCCACTTTGGAGCCATTTTATACACCCGGTAGTATACTTTAAACATACAAAATTTTAAATAAATGACTATGTTCTACTTCAGAAATTGACCAAAGTGTGGGTCACACATAGAATTCTGCATGCATTTTATTAACTAACTTTACATGTAAATACTACCTATTTTCGAGGATGACACTATCTACTAACACATACAGTCTAATATCTAGCACCTTATCTCCAAGCACACTTATATTTTATATATAGTTATAGCTTACATTTAGGAGAATTACTACAGAAAGGAATACACCACTGAAATAGACAAAAATACCAAACTTTTAACATTAAAGCTGTAGCACAGATGAAGAAAGAGGAAATCCACTCAACTTTGAAGCACCAAACTGAACCCAATCTCGTTTGTATCTATATTTTAGAATGAGAGAGACCCAGTAATAAATCCTGAGACATTGCAAACCTCTTGTAAGTGCACAAATTACTGTGTTTTCCCCCTGATGTGTGTACTTTGAGATATGAGAGCTTTGGGAGGCAATGATGGAAACATTTGACTTCTATTGGCAACTTTCATTTACCTTATTCTACTTAGCAAAGAGGGATGGACTTGCCAGTGACCTGGCAATCAGTGGCCAAGTTCTAAGGATTTTAGCTTTCCTATTTCTTCTTTCAGCCAGTCTTGTTGCTTTTAGCAGAAGACTGCTGTAAGTAACTGGACAGATATATGACAAGGGTTTCTTTTCTTTTTGAGTTTTAGATTATGGTCTGCTGTTTGCAGCTTATTGCTTCTGTCTCCTCATGCCTAAACTTGAAGGGGCTTTGAGGGAGTCAAGAACACCCGTCTGGACCATAGAAAATGAGAGAGACAGAGATAAGGAGGGAGAGGGTTAAAAGACATGACTGACCAGATTTTCTCTCCTTATCTTGGTAACTGGCTCACAGCCAACTCTTTCTTTAATCTTTTGTCTGCTCTAGAAAGAAAAGACATTTTGCTTAGAGAAGCCTCTCCTGACAGCATGGGGTTGGTCTTAAAGAGGAATAAAACAAAAAAGACATGTGAGGAAAACAATTCTTTTGATTTTTTTTCCCTCAAAATATGGGGGAGGGCGGTTATGAGAAAAAATACAATACAGTAATTTAAATTGTTCCTCTCTTTGTTTTATCCCAACAGCCTCTGAGGGTTTTATCTTGGAGAGTTCAAATTATCAGATGCATAATTTTTCTCTTCCAAATGGCATATTTCCGACATTTTAAAGAGCATTTTGGCAAAGTCTAAGAAAGCCTAGTTTAATCTTATAAATTAATTTTCAGATAGTATGAAAAAAATCTTTTGAAGTAACTTTACCTAGCTTAATTGGCTAATTATATATAAAATAAAGTAATGTTAGGGACCTTATAATGTTAGGCACCTTTTATAGGTAAAGGATATTTTTAGTGTTTTTTTTTTTTTTAATTTTTTGCCGATATAATTGGACAGTACCTACAGGATTGAATGTGCCTCCCAAAGATGTGTTGTATTGGGTGCTTTTTGAAATAAGAAATGAGGTGCTTACTTTCTCCTAAATTATAAAATGGCACTTTTCCTTACCTGTTGAATTTGAAGTAGGTATCCCATCATCTCTAAATTGAATTGGAGTTGAGGAAGAGACAGAAAAATACCTTTTACTGCTGATCACTCCTATGGTTCACTTCTCTCCTTCCTTGCTTCCATAAGCCCTGGGTCCCTGTGAATCTGTCAGCTCTGGGTTTAGAGGGGATGAATTGGAGTGAGTGAGCATACAGAGCTTTAAATAAGGGGTATTCTTGAAGGGCCAGCACAGCAGGGGGTGGGGAAGTGAGGCAGGTGAAGGCAGTGGGCAGGAGGTAGGCAGGGAGCTGGAAGTACAGAGGACTACGCAGCAGCTGGTATTCATGGTGCCATATAGAAGATGGACCCTCGCATCACAAAAGTCACAGAAGCCCAGGGCTTTCTCCTTATTACAGCCTTCCTAAGCTTGTTGGTGTGTTAAAGCACCTGTGACTCCTTGGCAAACTAGATCCTCTATTATTCTAAAATAAGGAAATCATTAAATTGGAAATCACATCATTTCAAAGTCTGGTTTGTCTGGCCTCTGTACTTTAATGGGATTTTTACTGCATACATGAAGTGATCTTGGTGAAAAAAAAAATATGTCCTTTAAAAACATTTAGGGAAAGCTATTGCACATGAAGATCTGTGAGGCTAATGATGACTTTTTTGTGTGGGCTTTCAAATTTTCAAATGACAAAACAGTATGTGCAGTAAAATCTCATTAAGTTGATAGTGTTTTATTCAAAATAGCTCAAAATTTGAAGCAGTTGCCATCTCTAAGATAACTAGAGGCCCTATTGTTCGTTCATTAAGAAGAAAATATCAGCAAAGCTGAATGCTCATAATTCAAAGGTCCTCTTTTCCAGTCTCCTAGTTTGAACAGGTTTTTACCTTTGAAAAAATCCAATTTAACATAAGAATGGACAATGACTAAAATAGGGAAAAGAGGAACTTTAAAAAAGGATATCAGTGAGTCTTAGTGCCCTGGAGAATACTGTGTGTACTGTTAAATTAACTTACCACATTCGTACAGGTCTGGTCCCAGTTTGATTTGGGATTTTGGCAAACAATTTTCTCTGATACACTTTGAAGGGGTTGAGCTTTAAAAATAAAACAAGAAGTTCAGTTTCAACAAAATATTTGGAGACACTTATGTTTGAAATCCTGTTTCCTACTCAGGTAAGCATTTCTATTCAAAAAGCAGGCTATAGCTACCTTGAATTCCTTCAACCATTCAGATCTTTAAGGCAATACCCCTCTTCCCATTAAAGGATTGGTCACATAGGTCTTTACCCAGACATCTTTTGAGGATAGGCCAATATGAGACTTTGGCAATAAATTGGTATAATAAATTTATAACTATTAATTTACTTTATATATATTTCTGTAGAAAAAATAAATGATTATGCAAGGGTAAACTTCAGCCCCCATATCTTGTCTGAATTACCACAAGTTCCAAATTAATGGGATTAGAATTCATAAGATTTTCATGGACATAGATCAGCTCAATATTATTTGGGTCTCTCCCCTCTTCTTTGCTAAATTCTGAATATGGCAATCCCAAATTCCCATGCAGACTTATTCACAGCTCAAATACACTGCTGTTTACCTTTCCTTTTTGAGAAGCTCATGTTGGAATCTGTGAGGAGGGAGAGATAAATAAAAAATAAAAAAGCTGGGCATTTGTATGAATGAAATTTGAGTTCTAATATAGACTTGGTAATCACACAAAAATGAGGCTAAACTCTGAATATGGCCATCATTATGTACAACCACCTGATTAACTATTTTTCAACCAAATACTCCCTCCTCTTCCTCCACCCATATTTATATTGGATTTCTGCATGAACAGTTGTTTGGCCATAGAATTATTTTATTTATCTTCAAGAAGATCAAAAAACTGTCGTGACCATTTTTTGGTTCCATGGTATTTGATCAAGTCAATATGGTGTGATCTCGGAAATACATAGGTGTATCCCTATCCAAAGTAATTTCCGGGTTTGAGATTTGAAAACTCTTCCACTGTATTGACCTTAGGGATAGTTTGGATATTGTAAAGGTTTTCACAAAGTGATATATTTCAACAGCAATAATTTGGCTATGTCTGAACTGAATGCTTTTAGTATCATGTAGAATAGGTCAAATGCTTGCCAGGTATTGTGAAGCCATCCTGTCTGTTATTTCTGGCTCTCTTATATTTCTCTCCCATATCTGCAGAGAACTTAAAGGCTTTAGAGAGAGCCACAGGTAGAAAAGACACATGCATGTACCTGGTGAAAGGAAAATGTTTGTTCTGCCTTACTTGCCTCCATGTGGAGATCATATTATCTATGACCTCATGGACACTAAAGAGGTTGCTAATGGCACATCACTCTTGACCGTCATTGTGAGTTTTGCAGGACTTTGGCCACTTCTAGTTGATTTTTTTTGGAAATACTGTTTGGCCAAAAGGCCTATTTAACACCCCCCTCACCCCCCCACATGTGACTGGTAGAGGAGATTTGGAGGATTCTAGTGAGCATCCCAATTCAATCACAAAGAGAAACTGTAAAATAGTGGTATAATTTCTGCCCCACTATTATTCAAATAGATGACAGAAAATAGTTTAGTGTCAATTGACAATTTTCCATTTGTATGGAATGACCTTGGTCCCAGGGTTTTATAGAAAAAAGTAAACTGTTTAGCCCCATAGATGTGTGTTATTTCTCTATATTCTCCCTTGGACTCACTTCTTATTTCAAACATGCCCTATTATCCTCTTCTGCTTTTCTGGATCCCTGTAGAAGACCTAGAAACCTTGGTATTTTAACTACACAATGCCTTTGTCTTAGTTTCCACAATAGTCTTTGTACCAAATTGTAGGTCGCATATGTTGATCTATCAGTCAGTCAGGTTCTGCTTCTTGGGCTCCATGAATGATTTGGTCCATTGCTTTTCTTTCAGTTGGATATAGGCTGTAGCCTTTTCTCATGAGCTCTTGACCTGAGAGCCAAAAAATCGTTAAGTTCATAGTCATCACCTTCCTTTTTTCTCAAAGTGAAAGCTGACACATTGTAGTTCTGGGGAGACAGACAGAACACCAAGTACAGGTCCAAAATGGATAGCCCTTGTTGCTTTAAGAAATTTAGAGCCTAATAATTTTGGGGAGGGGGAATTTTAGTCAGAATCCTCAAGTCCATGCTTTGAGGGACACACTTTTAAGAGAAGACTCCCATTCCTACCTCATCTATATATTTATCTACCTTGTGGTGAGAAGGTTGTGTGCAACATCTTTGCCTGGAATGGTATAGGTTGGCATTAATGGGATTGTATGTGGTCATTTAAATGAAATCTGTTCCTGTTTTCTGCATTGCAAACAGTTCAAGATTTGCCTTAGAAATCACTTCAAGGGGAAGTGGCAGAATCATGAGAAGGAACAGTCTTGCCTTCAGTCCCACCCTCTGTGCCGGCTTCAGTCCCAGGCAGGTCTGGGTGGCTGTCTTCTTTTGGGGGCTTTTCCTTGCAGAAAAACTTCTTCAGCATATCCTGGATTTCCTTCTTGATGGTCTTGTGCATATACCCATAGATGTAGGGATGGATGCAGCACTGCAGGAAGAAAAGCCAAATTATTATGGTGATCACCCACTGGGGTACCTTGGTTTGGACATCCACCCACACAGCCAGGACTGCTAGAAAGCAGTAGGGCCCCAGGGATAGCACGTAGGAGAAAATGATGAGGAAGATCACTTTAGCAGCTTTGCACTCATAGCACCTGGGCAGAGGATTGTCATTACTGTTTCGACGACTTGGTGGGAGACTCTCTGGGATGTTCACTGCCTCGATGTCATCCTCACTGAAATTGATGTCATCCTCATCAAACTCTATGTCATCTTCACCCAAGTCAATGTTGCACTGGTTGACCTCTATGCGGCCCTTGTTTGCTTTCATGCCGCTCTCAATTTTGGTGCTGCCTTCCTTACCCTCCATGCTGCCGTTGCTGGCTACCAAGCTGCTTTCTCTGACTTCCTTGCTGCCTTTGGCTTCCAAGCTACCCTCATTGTTCCCGATGCTCCCTTTCTTGGCCATTGTGCTGCCATCCTTGGCTTTCATGCTGCCCTCCTTGGCCTTGAGCTCACCTTCATTCTGGCCGTGGAACCCGCTCTCACCATAGAACTCTTCCTTCTTCCCTCCCTCTTCATCCTCATGCTCTACATGGTCCTTGGCTCGAACCTCCAAGCTGTGGCTCTTCACATTGTACAGAAGAGCATGCTGCCGTTGGGCTGCACTAAACACCACAGAGTAGCAGGCAATCATGACAACCAGTGGAATGATGATAAAAGACACCACGCTGAGAATGGTGTAGCTGGGACTGGCCCCCCAGATCATGGAGCAGAGGGCATTGCGCTCGTCAAAGGCAGCCTGGCCCCAGCCATAGAGTGGAGGTGTGCTCTGCAGGATGGCCACGATCCAGGTGCCATAGAGGAGCATGTAACCCCGGCGCGGAGTCATCTTAGAAGGGTAGGAGAGAGGGTGGATGATGGACAGGTAGCGATCCACAGACACCACGACGATGGTGTTGACACTGGCAAAGGCGAACAGGTGAGTGAGGCTAATCAGAGCCGTACAGAAATGGCTGTTGAGGGGCCAGAAGAGAGGCACGGAGGCAGCCACTACCCAGGGGGCCACGAGTGAAACTTGCAGCAGATCAGTGACCAGGAGGTTAAAGATGAAGCGGTTGGTCACCTGTAGCATCTGCGGCTTGCGCTGCAACACAAGGGCCAACACTATGTTGCCGACCAGTGAGGCGGTGAGGAAGATGAGCAGCACGCTGGAGCGGATGATGCCGTGAACCAGGCTGATGGGCATTTTGGAGAGGGGCATGCACGTGTGGCTGCTGTTGTTTTCACGTGTGCTGTTGGTGCAGGTGGGTGTCATGGCGACGGTGGACTCTCGTGAGATAGGGTGCAGGTTTGGAGCCTGCACCAGCAGGCGGCAAAGGGGCGCAAGGACTGGTCTCACTGTCTAGGCTGGGGACGAAAAAAACATGTGGGCAGCGTTAGTCACTCTGCAGAGAGGGCGCCGCTTCCGCACCTGGCAGCAGCCCTGCAGGAGCCCCTCCCCAGGATCCCTGCGTGATTCCTGTCTACATCCGGGCTGTTTCTCTGAATCCTTCTTTTACTCTCTGGGTCTCTCTGCCTCTCTCTCGGGTTCTCTGAGTCCTTCTCATGTCTCTCCCGCTGGAGAGTGAGCATGCTCTCCCTGCATATCTGCCCTACTATCTCTGGGTCTCCAAGTTTGGGTTTCTGGAGTGATCTCCCCAGCTGGCTCTCTCACTAGCGCATGCGCGCGCTCTGTGTCCCTGCCTGTTTACGTTTGTTTATTTCTCTTTTTCTCTCCAGTGTCTCTCACTAGCGCACTTTTTCTGTATCTCCTGAGGTGTGTGTATGTGTCTTACCGTTTTTCTCCGACTATTTCGCCCGTTTCTCACTCTGCCATCTGTCTCTATTTCTCAGTCTCTCGTTAGCATGAGCACACTTTCTATACGTCTCTGAAAGCTGCGGTTCTCCTCTCTTCCCTGTCTCTTGGTTACTCCTGTCTCTCTCTCCCACCTCGGTCAGTTTCTCTGTCTCTCAGTCTCTCCCTCTGTCTCTTTCTGATGCGCTCTTGTCTCTGTGTCTTTGCCTGTCACTAACTGTCGCTGACTACAGTGTGCGCTTTCCTGGCTTTTCCTGATGTTGTCTTGTTCTCTCCATTTCTCTCAGACTATTTCCCTAACAATCTCTGTGAGTTCCTAGCGGATGTGTTCAGTATCACTCGCTGTATGTGTATCTCTGTCAGTTTCTGTGTCTCTCTAACTCTCTTGTTTCCGTGTCTCCCTCGGGTTTTGTCTCTATTTGTGTCCTTCTGTCTCTCGCTGCGCTTGATTTGTCTCAAATCCTCTCGTCTCTGTGTCTTTTCCTGTCTCTCCCTGCGGTTTCTGTCTCTGTGCATTAAATTCTCTCTTTACCGCTGTCTGCCTCTCTTTCCGTTGCTCTCTGAAGACCTACTGCTTGTCCCTCCTGATCGTCTGTCTCTCCGTTGCTCAGGCTCTCTCTCTAGCGCGTGCACTTAGTCAATTTCTGTCTCTCACTCCCTGGGATTCTCACTAAACACTTTCTGCTTATGTTTGCGCGTGTGTGCAGCTCTGTCTCTCTCCATCTTTCTCCAACGATCCCTAAACTAGGTGTTTCTTTGAATCTCTCTCCGATCTCTATCACCCTGTCAGCTTTATTTTGCCATGGAAACCAGCTGCCACCTTGGCCACCGCGCGCTGTGGCGGACAAACCTCCTAGTTTCTCAGCAGCGCAGCTGTGGCTGGATGCAGGGAGGATGTCAGTTGCGACCCCCTCCCCTTCCCCCAAATTCGGCATTGTCACTGCATTCTCCAGCCTACCTGGTATTGGCGGTGTCAGGTGTCAGGATGGGTGAGCTGGGGTGACCGGGAGAGGAAGCAGGGGTGCTGGGCTGGTGGGGAGCGTCTGAGAGAGACAGAGTGAGAAAGATTGAGCGGCAGAGAAAGGGAGTGAGAGAAAAAATGAGAGACAGAGGGAGACAGAATGAAAATGAGAGACAGAGACAGAATGAGAGCCACACCGAGAGACAGGGAGAAATGACAGGTAGAAAGAGATATAGAGACAATGAATGAGAAACAAGAGACAGAGTGAGAGTGAGAGAGAATGAGACAGATAATGAGAGTCAGGGAGAGAGAGTGAGACAGGGCAACGTGGAACAGCAAAATTGAAAAAGCATGAGAATGAGAAGCAGAGAGTGAGAGAAAGGACGAGAACCCCACAAGAAAATTGATAGTGGTGGTGGTGGTGCGTATGGGGAGAAAGCAGAAGAGAAAGTACGAGGGAAAACTCCAGGGCGAAAGGACGACCGAGGGACAGTGAGTATCTGCCGTCGGGCCACGCACGGTGAATGGGGTGAAGACGGCGTCCCAGGCTCCGGAGCACTGGGGCCGCGGCGCCGGAAGCCGAGCCGGCCTCTTACCTGTTGCTGCTGGAGGCGTCGCGTCACGGGAGATGCGTCCCAGTTCCCAAGGACTAGTCGCACTCAACTCGGCTGCGTCTCGAGGTGCCAGAGGCTGTGAGCTTGCACCCAGCACCAGGCACCAGGCACCAGCGGCAGGAGCGGCGGGAGCAGGGCGCCGGTATCCGCACGTCCTGTCCGCGTGCTGCGCTGCAAGCTCTGAGCGGCGGCGGGGGCGCGCGGCTTCTTAAGGCAGCACTGATCCCTCACCTTGCGGTGCCCCCTCCCCTCGGCCCCCGCCCGCGCCAGTGACGCAGGAGGCGGCGGGTGCTGGGAGGAGCGGGGCTGGCGGGTTAGGGCACTGCATTGGACCCTACTCGGATTTTCTCACGCCGAGTCCCCACCCCAGGGGTTCCAAGCTCACTGAGACCTCACAGACTGAGGATTGTCCCCGGAGCTGAGTTTTGTGCAAACCCTATGCTTTCCTAGCCCTTGGATTTCTGACCAGGTCCCGGCCACAGACCTGCACAGCTCTTCCAAAGAGAAGCAGAAATCTGGGCTTGGGCCTTGGGCCTCGACCTTTGAATACCCCAGACCCCCTAAAGTCTGAACCACCTGGGTCTGAGAGAAGAATCCTGACTTTGATATCATTGATTTTCTCTAGCTCCAAAAAAGCTAAATGGCAGTTCCTAGATTTTGGAAGCATTTAATCTAAGACAAGCCATTTAATTATCCACTGTATTATTTGATCGAAGTATATCTCCCAGTGGGCAAAATCTTGATCCGTCTCTCTCTCTCTCTCTCTCTCTCTTTCTCCTCCTCCTCCTCTCTCCCTCTCTCCCTCTCTCCCTCTCTCATCTCTGTCTCTATCTCTGCCAGGTATTGTGTTAAGCTGTTTATACAGAGACTATTGCCGAATCCTTTCCCCAATCTTATGAGATAAGTACTGCTATTACCTTCATTTTATAGAAACAGAAGCAGAAGCCAAGAGAGATTACCCTACTTGCTCAAGTTCAAGTAAATGTTGTACCTATTCTATTAACCAAGACTTTCTGGTCTCTCCCAAACATATTTCGGGTGTTTGCTGTGTATTATCCCTGGGCAGGCACCAGGGCATAAAGCTCCCCCATACCACCACCTAGAAGGGAAGATTGGGTCTAGGAAGGTGTCCCAGACCAGGGATAATTTGCATCTAGGGATGAAAATGTTTTCTAGACAGGACAGAAGGGGAAGTGTGATCTGCAAGGAGATGCACAGGCAAAGAGGGCTGTAGGAGTGAACTGGGTGCTCAGAGAGGCTGCAGCAGGCTGAGCGTCAGGAGGCGAGCTGGAAAAAGGGTGTAGGGCCAGATCCTAACCAGCCTTGAATGCCAGTCTGGGGTCTTTGGACTTTATCCCAAGATCATACATACACAAGTGTAATGATAATAATAAAATAAACCGTCATGTTCCCACCAGCTTAACAATAATATTTTACTATTATTGTTCAGTGATGGTATTTGTGCAGGGCAATGTGATGAGATTTCTGTTTTTCCAGGGTCTCTTAGAAGCAGGACTGGAATGGGTTTGGGTGAAGTGTTGAATAGAGAAAAAGCAGAAAGAAAACTGTGGCAGGAGACAAAGATGGTCTTGGCAGGTCACACAGAGGGAGCTGAAAAGAGACCCGCAGAGAGGCCAAATTTACAGTGGAAAGGGATAAGGGCAAAGAGCTGTTCAGGAAGGTCTAAGATAAGCACAAGATTCTGAGTCACTTGATAGGATGGATGGAGATCCCTCCCCTCCACTGCACCCCATGCCTCCTGGACAGGGAGTCAAGTCAGGTATATAATCAGGCCCCAGGATGCTTTTTGGATTGCAAGTCCTACATTTGCTATAGATCATTAGTCTTTTTTTTCTAAGCCTGATTTTATCTTCTCAAGGTTGAATGGTATAAATGTAGTCTTTTTTCCTGGAGACAATTTCCATGATAATCACTCAGTTATAAATCCCTAGCCTCATTCTGGCCATGGTGCAGTATCCTGAGTGGCATGCACTATCAAGTGGCAGTTCACTCAGACTCAATATTTTGGAATCCCTTGGGAGGCAGTCAAGCTGTGAGAAGTGGACAGAGACAAAGGCCAGTCCAGTCCACCTTGCCATTTCTTCCTTTTCCTTGTGGTTCTAAGAGTTCCCTGGACTGCTGGGATCTAGTAGGGGATAGGGACAGAACCAGGCTCATGGAATCTGGAGCTGTACTCTGACACTAAGGGGGATAGTGGGAAGTGGAAGAACCTGCAACCAAGGCCAGTCTGCCTGCACGAGACAGTAAGAAAGCCAAGGAAGCACTGGGAAAGTAATGCAAGCCATTTTCCTGTACAGGGAGATGTTTAAGGGTTGTTAATCCTCAGGTGTTTGTTTATTCTTTTCCCTCCAGGCTTGAGCAGAGTTCGTGTCCTTGAATTTCAAAGGCATGCAAGTATCAGCATCCCAACTGGAGGTATGTGGGGGGCCTTGGGGAATGTGGATTTGGCTTCAGGCCCTACAGGCTCTGATTCTGATGGCCTTGGAAGAGCCCTTCAACTGACAAGCCTCTAGATTGTGGGGAGGTTTTTTTGGGATGAGACAAGGAGAGTTTGGGATGATGGTGTAAGAAGTCACCTAGTCCATTTCCCTACCTTTGTAATTCTGTAGCAGTAGAGGTAAGATTGGGCTAATGATATTAATGGGGCAGAGCTGGAGGTCAAGAAGCTACTAGAAAAACTCTAGGGCATGATGACAATCACAAGCTACAATAGCAGTCAGCAGTGTGCCAGCCTTGTCTTCTCAGACTTGTTCAACTGGTCAGACTGTCCTGATGGATGTACCAATGGCCAGGTGAGGGAAGTCAGAGGCTTAGGACTCAGCCAAGTGTTGGTTTTAGTAACAATGTGTATACAAGAGTCCTTG